GTGTTCTTTCTGTTGTGACACACTTGCACTCAACAGTACCACGTGTTCAATCTGAGACGTCCCTTTAAAATGAATTACGACCGGCATTTTAGTCACCCAGTGAAGTCATAGGCATCTACACTGGCACTGGTCTCTTCTACGATGCCCCATCCTTCACTGACTTGACCTACCCCGAGCACCGAGCAGACTGTAGTCAACGCTTTTTTTTTCTTCCTTTTTTCATTCTTATGTTTTTACAGTCAATAGAGAACACAATACACGCTCGCGCACATCGACAATGAGCCGTGTCTATGGTATTGAGCTGCGATGAAGCATACACAGGAACATTGTTAGATGGTCTGAATATTGTGGTGACTGCATGGCTATATTCGCTTCGCTGCCTCAACATTCAAGCGACAGGGCTTCAAACTGCAAGTTCTAGGTCGCTGTACTTATGAAGCTGAACTAGCTATCAGATGAGTGCCCGCTTGCGCAGGATCTGAAATCGGCCAAGCATGATTTAAAAAGGGTGTATCTCACATGTCTGCGGTCGCATCAGCGGGGCACCATCCTCTTCAAATGGTACGCGCCCTTCTAAATTTTCCTCATTCGATAGAAGGCACTGATGTGACATCGCTGGTAAGTTATGATATGTCCTCGTTTGTTAGCTCGAAACTCGGGACCGCTGCAAGGCAGAACAATTAGTGTAGAGAGTTTGAGGTGTAGGCATGAGAATCACACCTTTCTTTTTGACGCGTGTGTTTGCTCAAAAACGCATGCTGTATGCTGCTAGATGCAACGTATTGCGTTGGGCGGCAGCTTCTTATCACGGTTCACGTACGAAAGTTGATGTTGCAGGGAACGCCATCAAGACATACACAATGTGCAAGCCACTGGTCTCTGCTGCAGTGGCCATTGCCATGTCAAGGGATCTGACAGCTCAAGCAGCAGTGTGGAAAACATGTTGGACACACCTCCACTCTCTCATCGCCACACGGGCCATCATTGACCAAGGTGCCTATGGCAAGGTTACTGCACAAGGGCTAATCTGTATTTGCAAAGATGCAGCCTCTCGACCAGATCCTGCCAGACTTGGTCTGTCTGAGCATGAGCAGCCAAATGGCTGCAGCCCCGTCAAGGAGTTTGTCCAGGCCAGCAATTTTCTCCGCTCCCTCTTGAGCACCATCAACATGAGTGCTGGGAGTACAAGAGTGTTCGACAACTTGCTTGCAGACATGGAAGCCGGTTGGGTCAACTTCACTTGCTTCTCAAGAGGGCAAAGAAGATGGCAAGAGATCTTTCCATTTGAGCTCAAGGTAGCTTGGACCAGGATGATGGCTATCATAGGTGCCACAGGACAAGCAGACTGGGACCTGCTCATTCCTGTGTACTGCGGAGACTTGACAACACCCTTGAAGCAGAACTTCACATTCATCATTGTGCAAGTCAAGTCAAGAAAAGATTCTGTCAAGTCTTGCCACCCAGTCAGTCAGCCATGGGCTTACCCGGGTGCTAAGGCTCCCATTTCTATGGTGCTTAACCCTGGCCCACTGAAAAATTTACCATCACAAAGTATTCCTTTCACGGCCTCATCACATGTAAGAGCGCAACCCTGCGCGTCCAGAAGGATAAAAAAGATCACGACGAGCCCGATGCCTCTGCATCGGCCAGCATCGAATGGTAATGAGCCGCATGCCGAAAAGAGAGTCGGCTAGCTGGCGCGGCATTTGGGGGTTGCAGCTCACCAGCTTGCCAGAAGGCCCAGCACTGCGTTTGTGTAGGCCT